TTACTTTATTCTCAGAAAAATAAATGAGAATCCTAATGTACACTTGGCGTTTCAGTGTATAAATCCCTAATATGGCTTAATATATCACCCTTCCTGGTTTCATTTAAAAGACAGATGAGCAGCTCAGCGCTAAATAAGTAAATCTGTGTGAGAAGCCAGTAGTCGGAGAGGGGTGGGGAATGAAAAGGGAGGGTCTTCTCAGGGCCTCTGAAATCACACCATGAACCATATACCATTTGTAAGGCCAGACCCATTTCAGCATAGCTGTCCACTTTTGGCTGCTTCTCATCCATAAAGAATTCCTTAGACAGGAAGAAGAGTTTCTGACACTCAAGTGAAGAAAGCAAATGCTCTACCAAAGTATTTGGCAGTCTACTGAGTACACATTTCTTATATGGCTTTGGGCTCAGAGAGCACATAATTTATGGCCACAATACCTGGAAACGCCTAATGCATTCATCAATAGCACTGCAGTTACAATATTTATGCACACATCTAAATCATTCTTAACACACCAAGCAGACACATACGGGGTGTCAAACAATGACAGGGCCTTTTTTTTTAGAGATACGGGGATTAAAAGAATAGAGTTCAAGAATAGCTTTTTCCAAAGGCTCTGTATAGCCCAAACCATCTTGTTATTCTGTCCGTACATCTTGAGCTAACTAAACCAACCAAGTGAACAAACAAAAAACACCCCAAAGAACTCTAGTGGCAGCTAGACATGGCAGCTTCCTTCCAGAGGAGGATTAGATGTGCAGGTGACCAGCACACTGCAGTTTTGGTGACCCAGTTTCTTCACCTCCCATGCAGAGAATTCCACCATGGGAAACTTTAGATGGCCACAGAAGACTGGGCGGTGACAGTCACTTAATTACATAGATGACTCCTATATTACCACGTTACACATGCGTTTTGGCACTACCGACGCCAGCAACATTTAATGGAATCATTTGGGATTTTCTCCCCCCAGTCACAACATGGGTGGCCAGCGCAGGGGAAGGCACATCAAGGGTGTTTCCCGCTTTCTGGCTGAGAATACTCAGTGACATACTTTGAAATACACGATCCACTATACATGCATCACTCTAAAGAGTGTGCACATTCTTGACTCAGGCAAATTCAAGGGTCCAATTATATGAGGTCAGTGGAAATGCTGAGATTTAAGTGTCCCACTGAGAGGAGTGACACAAGACCCACCCCCCCAACCCGCTTCCACAGTGGAAGGAAATGATAGAGGGCGCAAAGACGGAAAGCATGGACTCTGAAGAAAATTGAAACAATTGCTGCTCTTGAGGATGTCTGTGGAATCTGGCAGTTTTGAATAGATTGGGTCTCTCTCCATAATGTGAAATAGATGGGACTAACTGCTGAATTCCTCCTCATGCATTTTACTGGTTTATTTTGGAATGAATTAACACCTAGAACTTAACAATGGTCAGCCACCCTTTCTTTAAGATTTCTTGAGCAAGCCATAAATATCTTATTTGGTCCCAATTCAAATATCCAGTTGAAGAGAGGTGACTAACTGGGGCCAAAGGAAGGGTTTAGAAAAATAAAATTACTCAGCTGATAGCTTTGATGATGAAGCACAGGAAAAAAAAGTAATGTAATATCTCAGGTAAATGGATTTGGAAATTTCATCCTGTGGTAAAGAGAGAGAGGCTGGTGCCATTCACAAAGCCAACAGCCCAGTGAAAGACATTCTATTTGCCTGGCTAAACCAAGGTCAGGTTGAGAATACCTGGCTAGAGGCAAACAGTACCTTCTTGATGGCAGAAATGAGGACAGGCAAATATAAGGTCACTGTTGGCACCTTTCCCCACATACCCGCCCTTCTACCTCTAAAATCAACTTCTGCAACCTAGGAGGATCATCTGGCCACTGAGTTTTGAGCATATCTGGTCATCTTTTCAGAAAAGCATGTGAATTCCTAAGACAGGCATCCAGGGCTACTTTCCTGTAACCAGATGTCACATGTTTTAAAAAGTAGACCTAGTGGGAATTTTGTAGGCGTGCTTGTAGTCCTGGTTTCCAAGGAGGTAGGGAGGGGGCAGTGAGTGGGTCAGCACCCAGGTACTTGGAAGAGTCAGAGTGGCTGAGATGGTTGTTAAACATCAGAGGGGGCTGTTGGGATATTTCTTAGGACTGACCTTCCTGAAACCTCTCAGCCACATCAGGCATGACAGGTTAACTTGACCTCAATTCTAGCTTAAACCCTCTTGGGAATCTTTCTTACCCTTGGGGCTGATAGGGAAAATATGCTACCGCCAGCTTGACTTTGCATGGAATGCTGGTAATCTATAGTTTACTGGACCCGGGGTTCACTTTGAGCCAAAATGGACCCTGTGCTAAGTAAGCATGACGTGTTATGAGCATGAACACGTCTCACTGACCAGTAAGACGGGTGAGGTGGGGAAGCATAAACACAAATTACTTGCCCTGGCTTCTTCACCACAGTGGCCTCCATTCACATTCACTTTTTTCCAGACACCCTGAAGCAAAAGCCATACAAAACAATCTCCCCAATGGAAAATGAAAACCCATAACAGGACACTTTCCCCCTTCATTCCCATCCCCACCCCACTCCCTCCAGCCCAACACCCTGAATACTCACAAGAGAACACTTTATCTATACAAAATTAATTAGAAAACAAAATATTTACATGTGAAATAAACACCGTCTTGATTTCTGTCAACAGTGGAGACCGGCAGAGCCCCCTTGGTTCTAGATTGCTGTTCGCTAGGTTAGTTGGTTTGGTTTTTTATTTGAAAGGGGTGAGGTAAGAGGAAGAGTGAGGGGAGGAGCCCCTGACCTTGGACAGAGTCAGGGTGAAGCAATGTTTATATGGCCCTTCTCCTTCTTCCTCCTGGAGACGACTCACACCCTCTGTCCTCTCTCTCAAAGTCTTTCCTTGAATCTAAAGTAAAGCACTCCGCGCTCCTCTCTTCAAGTTTGGGAGAGGTTCAGCCCCTTGCCCCCAGGCTCGTCTTAGAAAGAAAACAAAGCTTTACAAGGCCTTCAGTTGGCTTTAAAATGAAAGATACTGAGGTAAAAATCAAGGAGGAGAGTAGGGATAGCAGTCAAGGGTGGGGAATGAGGAAGGGTAGTGAGTCAGGGCAAACAGAAGGCAGAGAGCAGCCCTGGAGGGTGTGACTTGAAGAGACATGGCAGCTTCCTTCCAGAGGAGGATGAGCACCTTTCTGGTTTATGTGTCCTGTGTGCAACATGGAGATCCTGCAGTCAAGCTTCCAAACAGACCCGGGGCTCTCTGGCTGCCACCTGTATAAGGGGAGAATGGCAGGACAGCGGAACTGACCCATACAACACCCTACCCCAAGTTTCAGGACCGGCAGTGACAAATATTCATTTCCCTTCTCAAGTTTCCAACTTCTAGTGAAAGGGGCATCACATCTGCCAGTACCCTCATTCCTGGAGTTTTTCCATATATACTTTATTCGTGAATGATACACTCTGGGAGGGAAAGGAGGTGTGGCAGGAAGGTGGAAGGGCTTCTACTGAGGGTGTTCACACTGGCTCAATGTCACGTTCTTAGGGAACCAGACCCAAAGGGGTAGTGGGGGGGCCCAGGGGCCCTCCCATTCCCCTCCCATCCCCATCCCTACTTCCAAATCTCTCCCCTTCCCTCCATGCCTCCTGAGCTGTACTCATGAGCAAGCTCATTCCTCTTGCCTGTCTGTTCCCTGTCAGTTGTGATTGATTCTGGGGGAACAAGCCTGCTCTCCAAGCTCCAGGTTAAGTAAGAAGGGATCAAAGTGTTGAAAACATCCCCCTCTCTCACTTACCCTACCACAAACTACACCCCTATTTTCAAAGCCTTACTTAGCTTCTCCCCAAACTTGACCTGCTAAGGGTCTAAAGCTCAAGAGAGCTTTATAGAATCTTTTGCTCTCAGGTATGGGCAAAGGAATCATGGCTGCTTCTATTTCCCTTTAGCCTTCCTGGAAAGTTCTTGGCCAAAACCAGTTGAAAGTATTGGTAGCTGGAGATATTACTTTTGTACGTTACTCTTGTAGGATTATTTACCACCTTTTTGTCTAGATCACAGGATTTTCTCTGTCAAGAACTTCCATTCTCCTCATTCAGGAAGGGTGAAGGGATGAGACAGCCAAAATTTTAGGTAACATATGACCATCTCTGTTTGTATATAAGCCAAACAAAGCGCATTGCTGAGGGATATTGAAAGAAACAAGTCAGGGTTGCTTTCTCTACATTTCTAGGCCCCTGACTACACGCATGTATAGATTACATGTGTGCAAGTGCATTTGGATGCACATGTACAGGCAGTCCCATCCTCTTGCCTCTAGGCACCACGAAAGACTGCTATGATGCACTTTTCATCATCCACCAATGACCTTTTGTTCACCATTAATGAGTCTTATGGAATTGAAGCAAGCATTTTTTTGGCTTATATACCAACACACATGGCTTTCCCCACCTCTGCTTGGCACATGACCCATAAACAGATGCCATGAAAGCACCAAGAATTTAGGAAAAGCCTCTCTTCATTCACAGGCAAGTATGCTAAGTAGTCTTTGAATGCTTTTGCTGCCTCACCTAAACATAAAGATCAATTTGGGAAGAGCTATCCTGTGCTCACATGGCCTCTTATTGCTTCTCCTTGTTTCACTCAAAGTGGGTGACAGAGTCCTTCCATCCTAGAAGAAGGCTCACAAGCAGCCACTTCCTTTCTCCACTTGGGCCTCCCATGCTGAGCAAGCCCACTGCGTCCTCTCGTGGGAACAGGAATGACATAGAAGGGGGAAGGAGGAGCGAACTGGAAAGGGAGGTTAGATAATGCTGGTCACCAGGGATGCCCTCCGACAGAATCAGAACTCCAGGATCCCATAAATGAATTAAAACAACAAGAAAGGAGCAAATGGGAACCAAGTTCACCCCCGTCACCCTCCGTGACATGCGCACCACACGCCCACAGCCCTACCCTCCCATACCCACCTTAACCTCTCTCTTCCCTCACTCAGACATCAGACTCGATACTAGAAAGTTTCTCATAAACATGACCATTGCTGGAGCCATTGAAAGCCCTGGGGTTTTTGTTGTTAGGCACACAGGGGTTGGACTGGTTCCCTATACAGATGTCTTTCTGGAAACGGCCTGGCACAGCCCCATGAAGGGCCGAGACCACCGGCTTGTTGGTGACAAGGGCGCGGAAGTCCGGCCTGGCTTTCGGCGCCCCTGCCACCGAGGGCTGCCTGAAGAAGTAGGATTTGCTGCCATGGAGCAAGCACTGGTCATCCCCAAAAGTGGGGATGAAAGGGTTTTGCGTGACCCGGTCAGGGTAGAGCGACTGGCTGAGCATGTAGCCGCTGCCGGGGTTGTTGTGGTGGTGGTGTCCGGCAGTGGGCACTGAGGACTTGTTGTTGGCAAAGGTGCTCTCACCAGCTGGCATCTCAAACATGTGGGCGTAGGGACTCCCATCCACGAACCGGCCCTTGTCTTTCAGGCTCACGCTGCGTGGGGCCAAGGCGGCTTCTTCCTTCTGCAGGTCCACGAAGGTGTCGTAGGAGTGCTGCCGGCGGAGTTTGTTCCGGTTCTTCTTCTGCGCCTTGGAGTTGGTCGGGCTCTGTGGGTACTTGGTGGTGGAGGCGTTTGACGTCACCGCCACGGGGGCAGCCGGCTGGTCCAGCTCCTGCAGAGAGTTGTCCTCGCTGATGTCGTACAGGTTCCCTGCTTTCTTGCAGGCCTCGCACCGGATGCACGCCTGCCGACCCGAGTTCTGCCCTGCCACCGTCGAGGAGTAGTTGTGCAGCTTCGAGGGGCAGCTTCGGCAGAAGTTGCTCCCGGAGCGATCCTCCCACTCCACGTTGGTCAGGTTCTTCTCCCACGGTGCCGGCACCCCGCTGACCACGCCGTGTTTATCGCCCGTCCCGTGTTTTAGGTGAGACCTGTTGGTACAGGGCCCTCCTCCACTGACGGAGTCGCGCTTAAAGTCTTCGCTCCGCTCCTTATAGATGTCGGTCAGGTCCACGTGCTCCCACTGGGGCGAGTTCTCCTTCGTGCGGAACTGGTCCAGGTAGAAGTCCCGTAGCCCTTCCTTGTCCCTGAAGTAGCGCTTGTGGTCCGGGGAGCGGGGCGGCCGGCGGCGGTAGGCCAGCTCGATCTCGTCGAACTCGCGCCGGGACTTGGCCGAGGCCGGCCGCTTCTTCAGGCTGTCCTTGTATTGCTGCTTGCGCCTCTTGGCGGCATTGCCCTCGATGTTCCCGTAGGTGACCGTGTGGGTGGAGATGTCGGACACGTCTGAGCGGATCAAGTCATCGTGGCCGCTGTAGCGGTCACTCTTGAAAGAGAACTTGCCATACAGGTCGCTTAGCTGGCTGTGTTTGGAGGACGGGAGGCCGATGTCCAGCGGCTTCTTGCTCATGGACCTCGGCTGGGTGGTGAAGGGCGGGTTGTCACAGTCGTAGAGCCCGTCGATGGAGCTGGTGCTGCCGATGCTGTGGGGCCGGTGGTGGTGGTGATAGTGGTCCTGGTACACGTTGCTGTCCTTCAGCTGCAGGTTACCGAACGTTCTCTCCACCTCGCTGATGTAGTCGCTGAAGAGGTTCTCCTCGCAGGGAGGGTTGTTGTAGGATTTGCAATCGGAATGCGTGAAGCTGCGGCGGTGCTCGGAGATGTCGTAGACGGATGACTCGCGGCGGATGAAGTCCAGGGCGCTCTGGGGAGAGCCGTTCACGCCAGACAGGTTCGCCATGTTCTTGGCCGTGCGGAGCAGGCGCAGGATGTTGGAGTGTGTGTTGTTCATGGTCGCAGTGGGGGAATTCATCACGGACTGACGCTCCTCGATAGCCACGCCATGGATGCAGCTGTAGATACCCTGAAGGACAGGATGGGGTGGGTTAGGTCTCCAGTGAGGCTAAGAAGTGACTGTAAAGAATCTCCCGGCCCCCACTACTAATTGTCTATCTAATGATATGAAAAGTCCGGGGAAAGATCAAACAGACAGTCTTATATACTCATAAAAAGATGTGGCTAGGAGCTTGCATGATTTATCCCTCTGCGTCTGGAAGTCTCATACTATGAGCTAAGGTCATTGCCTGGCTATCTGAGAGGAAGCATGACTATGCCAAGTGACTGGAATGAAATCACAAGACATGACATGGTTGCCTTGACTCCCTCACTGAATTGCATTGATCTTCCTTTCTATGCCCAGGTATTCACATCTTAAAGATGATGCTGTGGTATCAGCATCAGCCAATAGTAAAAACACTGTCTGCCTCCTGGAAATCAATAGCAATGCTCCACAGATGTTGAGACTGCTCTGCCCTGGCTGGCCACCCTTGCCTGGCAGAAAAGCACAGGGGAGCTCAGAAGCTCACAATCGCCACTCTTTTCCAGCTCTGACAAATTTTGAGCAGCTTTTAGAATTTTGATCACCAAATAACAGCTGAGCAATTCTCTTCTTGAGTCAAGCATGAACAAAATTCACAAAGAGAATTAGGAAGCCCGAGGGTCAAAGATGGTTTTTTTCTCCTGCTGTGCCCCACGCCGTGGGAGGGAAGAACTGGGACAGATATCTAGTACTAATAGGAATAAATAATTTCCTTTCTGAATTCTCTCTAGCTCTTGGTTTCTTCTTCTACTTTCTCACTCAATCTTATCATAAATAATTGATATCTTAGAAAATTGGTATCGATGGAGAACTCCCTGTGTACAGGGCCTTAAAGAACAGCTCCCAGGTGAGGAAACGGGTTGGGTTCAGGTCTCGAGTCAAGCCAAACTCTTGCTAATATCATGCTCCCTGCCTTGAAAGGTGGGCAAATTTGGAACTTTTCTCCCTGGCAAGGTGAGGTATTTGAAGAGGAATTTGAATTGTGTCTTGAAAAGAAGGTGATTAATTTGAAAAGGGAAGTTGTCCCACTGGATGGGGATGAGAAGAGAGAAGGTTAGAAAGGAGAATGGAAGCTAAATAGTGTAGAAGAAAGGTTAGGTGAGGTGAGCCTCGCTGTCCCAGAGGACAGCAGCAAGATAGATCTTCAAGCTGGGGTTATTCTATTTTCTTTCTCAGGCCTCCTTTCTAGTCCTTCTTAATTATGGCCAGGAGAAAATGCCAAGTTTTGTTCCTGGACAGAGGCACTGATTAAGTAGAAGGGCTATGGATGCGATTTCTATTATAGGTCACCAGCTCCTATTGCTTCTGCCATCACCCTACCTAGGACCTTAGAGAAGGGCCACATGAGGAAACAATTTGACTTTGGGATCACAAATTCCATTCTCCTGCTCCCATGTTACTGAATAGCCTGAAATAAACTAATAGGGAGGAAATTGTTCTTTATCACTAAAATACTACAGGAAAATGATCAAAAGATGGAACAATTTAATGAGAAATCAATTTTCTTATGTAACTCCATTTGAGCCAAATTTGGTCATATCTGAAATTCAGATCTCTATTCTAAAAGGACATTTGAGTTTGCTTCTCATGAATGCGTCCCATAACCTCATTAACAAAATGAAAAGAATTCCTCGTCTTCTTTTTTTTCTTACTCTTCCCCCGTGACCTTCTGTTCATATTCAAAACTGTTCTAAATCCTCAGTTTGGACTAGAAACGTAGATGAGGCCTAAATAAAGAACAACTTCAAAGTTATACTTTGCTCCAATTAAGGAAGTTTCTGGGATGTAAATTTCCTATGGGTCAGGACTTCTGAAGGTTCTGTTAAGTACTTTAACTCACCGTAATTCATGCATGATAAAAACAGATGGGAACAATGAAACAATAATATACCTTTGTGTGTTAGAATAAAAGAGGACACGTTGCATTTCTCTATTTAAATAGAGATGCAATATTTTTTTAAAAAAAGGATTAAATGATTGTTACAGCCTATACAGAATTAACTAATGGTAATGAAAGGCACTGGGTAAAAGGCCAAATTTTTTATTTTTATAAATTTGCCAGTTCTTATTGATAATCAAATGTCCAAACTCCACATAGAAAGCCATTTCTTGAAGGGGAAAAAAATAGCATCACCCGTTTTTTGAGCCACTTGAAATTATATCATGCAGCCTCATGGGGAAACATACATGATGTGGTTTCTTGCTTTAGCAGCCCAGCTAGAGCCAGTGCCCTCCTGAGTCTCTTCCTTTTGCACAGTGCTGGACTAAGCTGCCTTTTACAGGCTCCAGACACCTAAATCAGCCTACTTACTCTGCTGATAGAGAAGACCATGCCAGGTTTGCCGGAACAGACACCCATAAAGCAATGCCGGAATTGCCAATAGAAAAGGTGTTCACAGATGAAGGTGATGAGGCTGAGAGCCATGGCTGCTCCCAACATGTAGAAGACTCCTGCCATGTTATCAATGTCCAGCTGGCTGCTCATGACCTCATTCTTCTCATTGTGGCAAATGCCAGTGAGCCAGAGAGCTTCCAGCTCCTCCATCTCCCCTGGAAATGGGGCAGAAAGAATAGGTGAAGAGAGAATAGAGCAGAGTAGTAAAGACAAGGGGAAAAACGGGTGTTGGGGAAGAGAGAGAAAAACAGGAAAGAGAAAGAGACAGGGAGACATACAGAAAGAAAATTAATAGAGAATAGTAAAGAACAGAGAAATTAATAAACAGTAATTTTATTAATAACATTATATAGATATTCTTCAATGTATTCAACAAACATATGAGACATTAACTCTGTTCTCCTTTATCTATCCAGTGTAAATTAGTATATTAAAAAATCAAAATGATAAGCTTTATACAAGTAAAAAGAGTTCAAATTAGTGAGAGTAACTTTGTGGGTTGGGTAGCCAGTAGGTATTCATGAGAGAGGTAAGACTTGGAGGTGGGCATGGTGAATGGGTGAATTTTAATTTATATTGTATGAAAAGGCACTCCAGGCAGCAGAAGTATCATGATCAATGGGAGGAAGGTGGGAAAACAGAAGGCTTGTTTAGGCAAAGGCATGCAGAACAGTTCAAACAAAATACAAAGAGGCAAAGGAAGCTGAATAGAAAAGGTTGATGCAGCATCGCTGAGGGCTTGAGCATCAGACTAAGCATTTTGCACTTTATTTTGTAGACAGTGAAAAATAACATCATCAAACAAGTGATTCAGAAAATTGCTATTAAAATAATGTGCAAACCGAGTGGGTGAGGGGAAGAGAGACAGAAATCAGCAGAGACTGACTGATTCCCTGGGGACTCTCAGACTTACTGGTCTTTTTTTAAGAGTAGAGGGGAGTAAGCGTGAATAAAATGCGACCACCGAATTCAGACCTGCTGCCTTTTAACACTGCTTAAGGGAGCTTTGGTGAACTCAGTTCATGTCAGGTTTCAATAACCTTTATCCACTCCACTGGATATTAGGACTTAGAAAGGCAGAAAACCTAGAGAAAGGGAACATGAAAGAAACTGCATGCCCTTGAATGCATCTAATTCTAGATGAGCACAATTCTGAAAATTTCATCAAGAAAATTGCATGCTGCAATAGTTCTGGTTTTGTTAAAAATTTGAACTTTGCATAATCTGACTAGAGCTCTGGTCACTTTTACAAATCATCTCTACCGCTGCTCTTCTTCAGAGATAGAGCTCTGTTATTATTGCCTCTAAGTGACAGCTACACTAAAAATCACAGAAGCTCTACACCAAAATGTCCAGTTAATAACCCAGCTATAACCCCTCCTCTTTTCAGTGTTAATCAAATCACTTTTTATTCATTTCTTTGATCAAACTTTGATTTTCCTAACTAGTGAAGCAACCAACTTCACCTGGAATCTGAAAAGTCCAGTTGTGCTCTTCTGCCTCTTATCTTATCCCTAACAGCAAGATTCTGCAGAAGTAATTTAGAGAACCACTTGGATCACCGCCTGTGGGGGCCAAGTACAGTTGAGTTGCTTAACTGTAACTGGATTAGCTTCTGTGAGGCTAAAAGGAGGAGGTACTTTGGGCAATAAAGTGAAAAGGGATGTGAAGACATGCTAAAATGACACAGAAGATGAGCTTTTCTCAAAGCAACTTGGCTGCTCAGTCTGCTGCCATAATGGCACTGGGGAATACCTTATGGTGTCTGCCTCCTACCTCTTGCAGCCAAAAGAGTAAGAAAGGAGAGAGGGAAGAATGAGTAGATGGCTGCAAGTTGATTTCTCTGCCCTTTCTCTGGGCACATAAAAAGCAGAAACCTTTCCAAAGTTCCATCCACTTTGGCAACATGTGAGATGATTGTTTGGAACAACTAATATCAGCCTCTCTTTCTCCCTGAAGGTTTGATCATAGCCTGCAATTCTGAAACATACCTCCTTAACCAACTGCTTTAATCTTCTTGTCCCATCTTTCACCCTGTTATGGGTTGAACTGTGTCCCCTAAATTCTTTTGTTGAAGTCCTAACCCTCAATACTTTCAAACGTGAACTTTATTTGGAAATAGGGTCATTGCACATGTAATTAGTTAAGATGAGGTCATTCTGGAATAGAGTGGGCCCCTAATCCAATGTAATTGATGTCCTTAAAAAAGGGGGAAATCAGACACATACATGTAAAGGAAAAACATGCACACAAGGAGAGACCACCTGAACATGAAGGCAGAGATGTGATAATGTGTCTACAGCCAAGGAACACTAAAGATTGCCAACAACCCACCATAACCTAGAAGGAGACATTGAAGAGATTCTCCGTAGTAACCCTCAGAAGAAACCAAGGAACACTTTGATCTTGGACTTCTGGCCTCCAGAACTATAGAACAATACATTTCTGTTTTGTAAGCCACTCAGTTTGTGGTACTTTGTTATGACAACCTAAGGAAACTAACACCCCCAAATCTCAGTATATTGTGACATGCTTTTCTGGAAATGCTGAAAATGCAGAGGTTAAAGGAATAGAGAAGAAGGGCTGATGTTTTGGACCAACCATCAGAAGAGACCAAGAAGGCACTTTCCCTTTTTTAACTCACCATCTCCGAAAAGTTGCAGGATAGCAAGGTCCACCTGGCGCTTCCACCCAGAATCTTTTTGGATGGCAATGCCATAACCAGTGGAAGCAAAGACCTTCCCGCTGCCAATGGTCACCAGCTTGCAGCCTTCATCTCTGCCTGCCATGTAGTTTAGCACTGCTGCATCATAGATGAAGGCATCCAGTTTCCTGTGCAAGAAAGAAGGAAACAAACCAAATCCAGTGGAGGAATTTTAGTACAAAACTACCTATGGGGCCATTAATATGAAGCAGTAGGGTCCAGAAAACTATGGAGGGAATTGGTCCAGAGAAAGGCTCAAGTTGAAACTGAGACAGAATCTAAAGCCTAAATCCCAGGCTATTCTTTGTGTGATTTCAAATCAAAAGGAGTTCTTTCCCTCCTACTGGGAATGATGAGAATGTAACTTGGGCCTAAAGCCAACTCATAAGCTGTGTCTGAAAGGGAGAGGAAGTAAAAAGGAATCAATAAAAATAATAACAGAAATAATGAAAAGTAACCATTGCAATGATAACAACAAAGAGCATGGGTTAGATTTATATAACATTTTTCATTTTTCAGTTCATTACAGTATGGAGTAGGATAAGTGTAGGTGTACGTGTTTCAACAGAGGTGCAATGCTATTTTTATGGTCAGAAAGGTTTCAATATTCTGTTGTGCCACACAAGTAAAAACTAGTTGGGGTGGCAGCAGCACAGGCTTCTGTTAAGAGTAAACGTGTGAAACTAACAAGAAAATGAAACATATAGAACTCAGATCTCTCAAATTCCTAAACATATATAAGGACCTCATTTTATAAAGGGGTGGGCAAAAGTAGGTTTACAGTTGTTTGTATGGTAAATAATACAACAATAAATAAATATTACAAGAATAAACTGTGTTTTGCGTACCCACAACTGTAAACCTACTTTTGCCATTCTCTGTATATCATGCTTTGCAAGAAGGGAATATGTAGGGAAGTGAGTAAGACTGGGGTAAGAGCAAGAAGGCCTAAATCAATATCTTTTTTTAAATTTATTTTTATTCTATTACAGTTGTCCCACATTTTTTCCCATTGCTCTCCCCTCCCCTGTGCCAATCACCCCCACCCCATTGTTGATGCCCATGGGTCCTCTATACATGTTCCCTGACTTGCCCCTTCCCCTACTTTCCCCGGTTATATAAAACAATATTTAAAACCAACATTTAAGCACATCAAAGGCAGAAGAAGAAATTCAGACATAACCATATGGGTAACAGGTCTTCTGTTACCCCAAGTCATTTAATTTAGAAATCCATGAAGAGCAAATAAAGTCTTCTTTGCTATAACTTTGTATGGCACCCAAACGTGGTACCTCTGATTCAATGCATGTTTAATAAATGTAAGAAACATGTCACAGACTCTGAGCTTGAAAGCAGTTCTTACCCTGTTTTCAAGGAGAGCAATGCATCATCCACACCCCTCTGGTTGAACTTTCCCATGTAGGCATGCATTTCTGCATAGTTATTGCGAATATTCCTCTCTGTGCTGCCATTGGGCACAGTCCCAAAGCGAAAAGGGGGTGAGAAGTCATTAGGTCTCTGGAACTGCAGAGACAGAAAGGTAGAGAAAGAAAAGAAAATGCTTCAGAAAAATATGAAGAAATATTAAGTTAGCATTAGTGGATTTATAATGGAATGGCCCTAACTATAGTCACCAAATACATTAACCCTCACCCAGGAACAGCATTGCTATCTAAAAGTGAAATGCAATTCAACTCAGTTTAACACATATTGTTGAAAGCTTTCTATTTGCCTAACCCTGACTTTAATCTATAATCCATGTGCTCCTTTTGTGCACACTGCACAATACCAGTGATGACAGAAACATGCTGTTAGCTCAACTGTGGTGTACTAGTCACCTTTATTTCTGAAAATTGTGTAAAATCTGCTCACATGCCTCTTATTTAGGTGCTTAAATATATTGTCACTGCACTATCAAGGCCACAGGGCCTTGATTAGGTGAGCTACATTGTACTCCTAAAAATAATTTGTTGGGTATCAAATATGATTTGATAAGAAATTTTCTCTTGACCTTCCCTGGTGCATCTAAAGTTCATATTTATCCTACATAAGTTGTAGAATAAATTTAAAAACCAAATACAGTTTTAATTAGGTTCCTTCCCTGGCTTAGGAACTGAGAGTGGCTCTCTAGTGCCTATCATAATAAAGTGAAATCTCTTGGATTTTCACCCCTATGACATCAGCTTTATTTCTGGCTATTGCCCTGCAATGACTAAGTCTGTGTGTTGCTCCCTGAACACATAATTTGTTCATTTGTATCTTTATAGCTGTCCCCTCAGCACAAACTCACCTTTCTCCCTAGGCCAATTCATGTTCTTCGTTCTCAAAATGCAAAGTAATTTCTGAGGAAACTTTCCATGAGTTCTTTCTTCCATTGAGTCTACCCAAAAGTGACCCATCAGTGCTTGGTATTCCTGGCTTATATCACTGTAATTTATACTACAAATTAAATTATTCTTTAAATGAGCTGGCTAAGTTATGAGAGTTAGTTTCTGATGTAGTCACTAATAATTTAAGCTCTATGATTGAGACAGACATAGACTGATGACCAGCACTGCCACTTACAACTGTGGGACCTTGTGCAAGTGACACAAGCTCTCTGTGCATTACTTCCTTATTTGTAAGAAGGAGGCAATAACATTGAGTTTTCAAGCTTGTTGGGAGGATTAAATTATATAATGTATAAGAAATTCTTCACACAGCATCTTGCATAGAGTAAGTGCCTATTAAGTAGGCTCAATAAGTGTTCCTTTTATTATTTTAACTCATACTTATATTCTGTATTCCCTAGAAAACTCAATGCTTTCCAAACATCTCATTCTATTATTATGTCAATGAACACATAGAATATGACCAGAGTAGTCTGCTATGCTTTGGCATAGGAAAAGATGTTGATATTTTAAAAAGTCTTGTTGGTTTCAATACTATCCCTGTACTTTGGAGATAGATTTGAAAATCTAACCTGCCAACTGAGGCATACTCTGAACCTTTGGAGTAGCCTGGGCGTAGAGCCATTCTTTCTCCTTCCCTTGATCTGAGAAGCTCAAGAGCTTCTCAGAACATGGGGGTTCATGGGCCACAACATGGCACAGTACCCAGAACCATAAATGTATCTTAATTGCTCAGAGTTGTCCATAGTAAAAAATAGTCATACAGTGGTATTAGGCAATTTGTAATGCATCAAAGACCACTACTTTCTGACTTAGAAAGCTCCCAGTCCTCCTTACCACATGCTTTTTGCCATTACAAATTTTTGTTTAATTATTTTGTAAAGGTTTGTGATTTTTAAGTGAACAAAGACATTGCAAGAGCCAAAGGATTTTTGGAGTTGGATGAGTCACTCACAGTTAACTAGTTCAAACTTTTCATTTTACAAATGAAGAAACTGAAGCGCAAAGGGGACAAGTAGTTTGCTGTCACACAGTGGCTGTGATGACTAACATTATCAGGGATCAGTTAGCTTAATTACTAGGTCTTCTCCTTGTCTCCAGCAGATAGCAACTTTAAAGAGAACAGGGATATGCCTTATTGGAAGAGACAGATACCAAAATGCTATGTATATCACCGTCAATTATGACACTTCAGATGTTTGAACAAAGTTATCCTCCAACTCAAAAGTAGAATAGGTACTATGACAGGCAGCAATGTAACCAAATAAACTCCCTTTAATCAGTAATTTTCTGCTTTTCCAGGACAAGACCACTAATGCTCACAATGGCTAACATACTCTAAAGCTCAAAGTATCTTCTCAAACACCAGTGAAAGTTGAAATCGTGTCCAATACATTTCTGATATAAATTATTATATTCTAGTTTTTTGAAAATTGGCAACCCATGTAAGGTATACGGAACACTTTCTGGTTCCAGATTGAATCTGGTACCTACAGTGCTTCACTTCCTGGTGAAGCTAGATTATGGAAAGGTTCTCTACTACCCTTTAGCAACTTTGAATGTTACATTTAGATTTCTAGATGCTGTTTTATTACCATATGCCTGAATAATTAAAAGCTAAAAAAATGATAAAGAACCTCAAGAAAACTTTGAAAAGAACAAGTTGAAGGACTTATAATACCTGACTCCATGACTTATTATAATACATGACAGTGTGACATTAGAATAGAAACAGTAAAGAGATCATTGTAACACAATAGAGTGCCCATCAACAAACCAACACATGTATGTTACAAAGGTAATTTAGTGGAGATGGGACAGTCTTCAACAAATGGTGTTGGAAGAGTTAGATACCCATATGCAAAAAACCAAAAAACAAACAAACAAAAAAAACCCTTCATTCTATACCTCACAAAATATACAGAAATTAAATCAAAGTGGGTTGCATATCTAAATATAAATCCTAAAATTATAACATTTTTAGGAGAAAAATCTTTGTAACCTTGAGTTAGACAGTGATTTCTTAAATACAACACTAAAAGTAAAGTCCACACACACACATACAACATAAATAGGACTTCATCAAATTAAGACCTTATCTGAATAACACAGGATCATGAAAAGACAAACCAGTGACTGTGAGAAAATATCTGAAAATAAACTAAAGCAATTAAAAAACTAGATGAATTAAAGAACATAGCAAGACTCACAGTTAAAGCACCTTCCATAAAAATCCATCAGAGAAACCAATCAGCACTGGAAGAAGGGGAAGGCACAGTCCCGTGGAAAGCACTGGTCTTGGAGGAAGACAATTTGGATTTGGATTCTAGTTCTCTCTCTGGTCAGCTTTATAAACATGGGCAAGTTACTAATATTCACAAAGCTCCATTTTCTGGGAAGTATTACTTTTAATGAATAATAAAATAATATATAGGAAACCACTTAACACAGTATCTAGCACATGAGGGAGTCTCAAAATTATTAACTGCTTTTATAAGGATGAAGTTCTAATATCTAAAATTGTCTTATGTTAGGCAATGATCCCTAAGATTGAAAACTCTCATTTTTTAATTTTTTCCTTAAACTAGGCCAGTCTAGGGACCAGAAGGGAGAGAGTATACTGCCACAGAATTAGCCAAAACAGAAGTAGAAGTGAGCTTGCCTTTTCCTTAGAAAATTCTTTTCCTAGCTTAATGAGGTTTAAATAAAACATAGGTTTATAAAAATAATCTTCCAAATACCCAGATGCTTCCCCAAAATGCCCTGTAATAAAATTCACTTCAAACCATGAGGCATTATACGGCATTTCCTTAACCTGAGAGACAATCAATGCTCTCTGGGGTTCTGAGGAGGACAAAAATTTAGTACTGTCAAGAACCAAAAGTCTTAAAATCTATTTAACAGGAAGAACTTCAAGAAACAATTTTTTTTTTAAAATTTAAAACCCAGCACATCAAGGAGACCAGCATTGGATTAAAAAACTCAGCGTAATGTTAAAGTGAGGAACTTTATATGATACTTCTTTTATTTTTTATTTTATTATATTTATTGGGGTGACATTGAATAATAAGATTATATTGGTTTCAAGTGTATATTACTATGAAAACATGATCTGTGTATTGCATTGTGTGCCCACCACCCATAGAAAATTATCTTCTGGTCCCCTTTACCCTTTATTACCCCCACCTCCCTTCCCTCTGACCCACGGACATATGAAAAGATGTTCAACTTCACTAGCTTTCAGGGAAATGCAAATGAAAACTACAATGAGATACCATGTCAAACCTGTTAGAATGTCATTATCAACAAGATAAGTAATCTAAGTGCTGGAGAGGTTGTGGAGAAAAAGGAACCCTCATTCACTGTTTGTGGGAACATAAACTGGTACAGCCACCATGGAAAATAGTATGGAGTTTCTTCAAAAAATTAAGAATAGAGTTACCATATGACCCAGTAATCCCTCTCCTGGATATCTACTAAAAACTTTGAAAACATTTATTTGCAAAGATATCCACATTCTATATTCATAGCAGTATTATGCACAGTGGCCAAGAAGTGGAAACAACCCAAGTGTCCTTTAATAGATGACTGGATAAAGAAGATGTGGTACATATATTCAACGGAATACTACTCAGCCATAAGAAGATGAAATACTACCATTTGCAACAACATGGGTGAACCTTGCGAATATCATGCTAAGCAAAATAAATCAGTCATGAAAAGCTAAGAACCATATGGTTTCACTCATATGTGGGATTTTAAACTGAAACTTACATATAGTACTTCTTATTAGTCACCAGTGGCCAAAATAGGGCTTCCTTAAACTTGGAATCTTTTTCCAGAGTTACCCAGATTAGGATTATTTTTAAAAAACAGGTTTAGATCAGGAAATAAAAACCCAAAAAGGAAGGTACCTTAAGGATCAGTCCCATTTCACAGAGGAGGAAACAGAAGCCCTGAAGAGGCCAGGTGAATCGTCTGAGGCCATGGGTGATGTGGGGGACTTGACCCTCAGGAGCTGAGCCTTTCCACTGCAGCCTCAAACGCTGACCCACGAGTCCTACTCCTGCTTATTACAGGGGAGTGACGGCACATCAGATGCCAACTCCCACTCCCCCTCTGGATTCCACACAT